GGGAGTTGGATTAAGGGAGTTGGGAAGCTTGTCGAAAGCAAGGGAGTCGAGGGCAAAGTGCAACTTGGTTGCAGCCTCTTTGTTGTTGCTGAAGGGTTATTTTTGGTCTTACACGTGTTGTGTTTCGGTTTGCTTCTGTTGAAAGGGGAGTGGAGGGCGGTCTGTGCCCTTGTGGACAACAGGGGGTTCTTTTCTCTCTGCCATTTCTCTTACTGGGTTTGGAGAGGTAGTATCTCTTTTATCCACGCTCGGGTTCCGTCGGGATTCAGATTTTGAACTCTTGCTCTGTGCGCTAACAGCTACGTGCTTGTAGCATTCGGCCAAATCGCCCGTTTTTTGGAGACGGTATACGTGATATCCCTGGTTCCTTTCAATGAAATGTTTTCCAAGCCTTTCCATGCATGGGTCATGGGTGGTTACCATAACGAGTAGGATAAGTCGTAAACCAGGTACTACCTCCGGGCCTCGAGGCTGAAAAAAAAATGCGTTCAAACTTCAAAGCTTTTTGTCGAAATACGAGCGCGGCGTTTCTTTTTGTTTGTTTTTCTTTTGGCGTGTGGTCCGGCCGCACTGTTCATCCAAAGAACCAGGAATGTTACATTTTTTGATTCTCAACGTTGCCTGGGAAAGAAGTGGCTGGTTAAAAAGAAAACGGCAACTTGTGAAAAACGTTTTCTTTCATCCGAAGAACCAGGAATATTACATTTTTCGATTCTCAACGTTGCCTGGGAAAGTAGTGGCTGGTGCGTTCAAAGAGAACGTCAACTTGTGAAAAACGTTTTTTTTTGCGTTTCCTCGACACGCCTGAAAAAAATGGTGGGGGTGCGTGACCCTTCATGCGGGCCCACCAAAAAACTGGATGGGAGGTGGTACTTGCGGGGCGTGGCCCCTTCGGGAAGCGCCCAAGTGTCCGTGTTTTGTTTTTGGGGGGTGTGGGGAGTCCGATTTTTTAGAGTGTCGGGCGCTGTGCCGAACCGCTTTTTCGGCTGTGGGGAGCCCGAATTTTTAGAGTGTCGGGCGCTGTGTGGAACCGCTCTCTGCATGCAGGCGCGGGCGCAGCAATGGGGAAAGTGCGCCGCATCAGTGAACGGCAGGGGTGCATGAGGAGGAGTGGGAGGAGGGACGGACTGACAAGAGCGAGCAGGGGAAGGAGGAGGAGGGGGAGGAGGGGGGGGGGGGGGGGGGGGGGAGGTGACGAGCAGGAGGAC